AGAGAGAGAGAGAGAGAGAGAGAGAGAGAGAGAGAGAGAGACGAGTTGAGCGCACAGACCACCAAAAAAATCGCATCATTTCGCCTAATATTACATTAAATTTGAGCGCAATTTTCGGGTTAATTGGATCGGAATAAATACATTATATTATCATTTTTTGCTATTTTTTAAAAAGTACATTTATAAGTTATAGTTATATATTCGTCTCTCTCTCTCTCTCTCTCTCTCTCTCTCTCTCTCTCTCTCTCTCTCTCGCGAGAGTTGTGTTGAGAATGTATTTTTAGGTTAAGGTTTAGGTGACACATATCGCTATATTATTTATTTATTGATAGACCGAATAATTGTTACTTTTATACCATTTATTGCAATCTGTAATAATAATTATTACACAATTCGGTGGATAAATATACGGATAAAAAGTTTTTTGTTGTACTAATATTTGCTGTAAAACTGCTAATAATTTATTCTCACTCTTCTGTTGATCTCTCTCTCTCTCAAATACATAGAAAAACGATTGCCATTTGAAAAACGTTTGTGAGTTTCAAAACCGCTGATCTGTAACTATGAGCTCTTCACTCACTCTTATAGCTCTTAGGGCTTATGTGTTGTCTTTTAATACAATTCATGACTTCAATGAATCATAAAATATATGCTATTCTTAAGTATTAATATATTATATAACAAATACTTTACTTTATTGTGACTTATATACAGAGTATACACAGAAAGAGTTCCGATGCGTTCAATAACACTGACCTCAAGAGAGAGAGAGAGAGAGAGAATATTTATTATAATAAAAAGTTTCTCTATTTCTTCCCCAAAAAGTGTTTTTTTATAAAACATATCTTTGATGTCATATATTATATACAATATTAACAATATATGAGAAAATAAAACTCATTTGTATTATTTATTATACACTCAGACGACTAAAACTTCCCAATATTTAGAAATATTTTTTGGGCACAAAAAACATATCAAAAACTATTTATATATAAATATTTTTAAAAGAAAACTCATTATTGTAATAAATAGTAGTTTATATCGTTTATTCATTTGTATTATTTAGTTAATTATAGAAAATAATTCAAATTTTTCTCATTAATTATGTAATGTATGCGCAAAATAGTAAACATACACTTAAAAACATTATTTCAAAATGAGTTAATATATGGTTCCCGTTATTGTTATAACAGTAATACTGACTGCAAAATGCAAATCATAAGCCAATCAATAAATATTATACATAATTATCGGGCGATAAAAATAAGTAATTTTACGATCGGTTCCGATAAGTTCGGGGCCAATGGGAAGGGATAAAGAATAACGTGGTATATAATTATTAATTTATACATCCATACAAACCCACACTTTTTTTTAAATATATACCGTATTATTTTTTATATCGTTAACTAATCATCAAAAATAGTTGTGTTGTTTCGTACAGAAAATCTTGTATTACTCATGAGATTTGCTTTTTTGAGAAGAAAAATAATAGAATTGTAATAATGAATAGCGAACTCAATTTTTAACCGTTTAAACGATTAAATGATTAGTTTTTCCAAAAGGTTTGACTGTTTTTTGTTAAATTGATTAAAAAAATAATTTCCAAAACCCATCGACTAATCGCTTATAAGAGTTATGGAACCGCTCGAAGCCTTCCTGAATATAGCTCTCTCTCTCTCTCTCTCTCTTGAGGTCAGTGTTATTGAACGCATCGGAACTCTTTCTGTGTATACTCTGTATATAAGTCACAATAAAGTAAAGTATTTGTTATATAATATATTAAATCTCGTACTCAATCATCTTCTGGAGTGTCCCGTAATGCGGACCGCAGTCGCACTCTTTCGTGTACTTCTCCAGGATCTGGATCTTCTCCTTCACGTCTTTGGCCACGAATATGAATACAGCGCCCAATAGGTTGAAGAACCTGTCCATTGGATTAACGCAACCATTAGTTTCAATCATAATCACCGATTCATATGACACATGCCATCGAAAACCTAACCACACATACGATACTAAACCCAATCCCATGTCTCACATATACTGACCATTCACTCGACCCCAACCCCCGACCCGTCAACCCCTGTCCCCCGCAAACCCTCCCAACTCTTAGCCAATCGTAAGCTGTAATACCGGAGCAGTTCGTTGAATGCCCGAAGATAATGGTCCAAATCGATGGCATTCTTGTCTTGAATACACCTCTGGAGCGAATCGCAGACCACTTCGATGTCGAAAGCCTTCGCCACGTGATTACCATCGGTGGACACGAAGTCCACAACCCTTTCGTCGGACACACTCGAGTCGGCCATTCCCGCGATCACCGCAACTGATCCCACAATCACTTCCAGTCGAGTCGAGCGGACACAACACACACCACGCGATGGCTATAACGCTATCAATGAGTCAATTGTAGGCAAAAAACGCAAACAATTAATGATTTAATTATTGAGACATAATTTAGTGAACAATTTGTGGCACAAAATGTGTGAACACTTAAAACACAAGCAATTGATTGAATGAATGAATGAATGGTTTATTGATTTTATTTTGTAGACAACTATTACTGACTGTTAGTGACTGACACACACTCTCTCTAATAGAGTGCACTCTCTCTCCCAATACATACGTACTTCTGATGTCACTCTCTCTCCCTCTCCCATACACTCTCTCTTTCCCTCTCCTGTCATAACAACACTGTATTATCGATGCCTCCCATCACGTGACCCATGCCTTGCCATACACTGTATGTGAATACGTTGTGTAATAAAAGTTTTTGACTCTTTGAACAGATATTACGTGATATTAAAAACTTTAAAAGTTTGAAACTTTTGTAAACTTCAATATTTTATTTGAAATGTGTTTCAATTTGTCGTTTAGTTTACTTAATGTCTAAATATTTATCGCATAATCTGTCAGACAATGTAATTACGAGTTTTGTGTGTTTGTCTGCCGTAAGTAATGCTGGCATTGAGTGTGGGATTTGGTTGACTCGTGTGGTCGTGAGTCGGGACGAGTCGGTTGTCGGGAACTGCGGTCACATTAGGTGTCATCACTTCTATGGGTAACATAGACTCGAGGAATGGTATGTTTGCGCCAATCCGTGCCAATCGGTTGATCCATTTGGGTATCTCTACACCGCATAACACCTGCAGAATAAGTGGTCAACAAAACAATAGTTTCAAACATTTGAGACATAATTGAATAAAACAATGAATTAGTGATCACTTGAATGAATGCATTCGTGAAATGATTGCAATTGTTTCGAAACAAATGGTATTCATTGCCTTTGAATCGCTTTCGACCCAAACTTTGAACCAATTGTCTCACCTCTTGTCGACTATAATTTGTAAAACCGATTAAAATACTCTCTCTATTAGTTGTAACAAAAAGTTGTTAATTTAAATGCAATCATTTAGTTATGTTTTTAATTGAATACTTGAATGTGAAGTCCTCTCCAAGCGATTCATCAAATTTGGGCTGTATTTCAAAAATACCGGTTTCTTCGGAGGGATGGCCGCCATAATTGAATTCTGGTTATGTTTGGACACAACTGTTTGATTACAATCAATATTATTGTCAGTTCATTAATACCTGATTCAAAAACATGAGTTCCCGTGTGATAGACGCCGATCCCCAGGTTTTGCAAATAATTATTTGCCGATCCCTTCAATAGATTAATACAATTCAATTGTAATTCAATTCAAATATACATTTTTCTAATAATAATAATTACCAAATCGTAAATATTTAACACAACGGGATGTTTGTCCACATAAGGCCTGTACTCAACAATTTGCCCATTCATTATCACAACAGTTTTATATCATAGAGATTTTGATAACTGTTAAACTGAATTTGAAATTAACATAATCTCAACAATTAAACTATTATTTAATTTTAATTAATGCTCAACTCATTTGAATTATTTATTTGAAAAATAGTGAAAATAAATATCAAATCATGAGATTATTTCTATCAAATATTTTAATTAGTAAATTAATGCAATATTCTGCAATAACACTAACCCAATGAGTTCTAACCTAATCTAATCTAAACCACCTTAACATACCTTGTTATCTTTATTTTAATATAACCAAATTTATTTAATTTAGTTATTGTAATTAATTAACAGATTATTGATTGTGGAAATAATAATTATTTGTAAAAACCATATAAAAACAAAGTCTATGTGAACTTTAGTCGGTTTGTATTGAGAAGTAATGATTGATAAATTCAAAAAGTAATATTAATAATGTTTTGACTTTCGATGACATGTTTTTGATTCAATGATCACAAAGTGTTAGCCATTGATATATGGTTTGCATGAAATCAATCTTTGCTGTAATTAATAAACAAATTACGGATTCACTGTTACAAACATTTCTTTGTTATTGTATATTTTTTAAAGTTATCATCTATTTATTCAAACTTTTTAACTATCATTTATAAATAAGTTATGCAAACCATGTTTCCAGAAGAATTAAGCATTAAAAATTCAAAAATCTAGTTTTTGAAACTTTTGATAAATTAAAGTCTCGTTAGAAATACTGTAAATATTTTTATATGAAACCAATAAAATTGAATAAAATCATAATTAGTAGACAAATATAACTATTAATTGTGGTCAATATAAACATTATCCTATTATTAATAGTTGTGATGTCTTATTATTTGATTGATTTAACTAAAAGCAAAATTGTATGTAATATAAGACAATCAATAAATATCTTATTTGTGGTTCCAGTGAATCAAAAGAGCAGATCTTCCGCCACTAATAACTCTTTTTGAGGCAAAGAATTATTTATTTTGTGGTTTTAATCACCATTGAATTGAAACAAATCAAAGTAAATGCAATTCATTTGTATTGGCTTTAAGATAGTTATTGTGAATCAATAAAATTTTATATTTAATACATTGATAATGAGTTTATCCATTATGTAACTCAATCAGGAATTGAAATGAATCCAGAATATTGTAAAATCTTGGTGAACAATTCCAAAAACTTACATAGATTCTTTTTATCTATAACAAATACATCAAGTTTCAATTTTATTTTATCCTAATTCTTGTAAATATAAAAACATGTGTTTTTGTAAGCAATTTGTTGAGTAAATAACATTCCCTATAATGAACTTAGCTTTAATGAACATATCACATAATGCCCTCTACAATAAATTACGTACAGTATATCACAATCACTGCAAAGTTTGAAAGCATTGTCTTTGTCAGCAAATGAGCGTTTCCTACCCCTTTTAAATGTAGACATTATTTATGGATAGCGCTAAATCACCTAGCATATCAATTGTACAGCGAATACTAAAGTGACATGTTCATTAGTGCTAAGTTCATTATAGGGAATGTTAACTAGTATTTCAAACATTTAAATCATACAAAATGAGCATTTTCTGTGAGAATGTGTAAAACTAAAGCATGAATTTATAATTTGAAGCAAATTATAAACCATATTAAACAACAAAAGTGTGCATTTCGTGAAGTTTTGGTTATCGTGAGGACTGAGAATCAAATTAAAAAACTATAATTTCTCTATCGGTTCTCCAATTGATTAATTTTGTTGACTTTATTATATTCACGAAAAGAAATAATCACTCATTTTTGCCTCAAAACAAATGAAATCAAACTATTTTTAGACCCAAATTATATTAAAAAGTAAAGCATTAGTAGTTTTCTTCTAATAAAGCATTTAATATACCAATGAAATCGATGGAAAACCAACAAAAAACAAAACGATTATTACATATATCGGTGTATTCGCACTCAAAATCCTGATATCAATGAAAAATACCCACGAAATCATAGCAATCGATGAAAGCAATGCATATTTGCTGTTCAAAGCAATCATTTGATTGTAAAAACCTATCGAAACATATTATTTGGCAAAAAATGTATGAAAAGACATTCAAACAAATAGCAAAAAACTTAACATTTCTATCTATAGATCTATTATTTTTCTCGTTTGCATTACAATAAACGGTATTGAGTTTGAAATATATAGAGTTTGGTTTAGTTTCTCTCTCTCTCTCTCTCTCTCTCTCTCTCTCTCATTTATTTCATTCATTGCCAAACATCTCAATAAATGCATTGAACTCCAGCCCCCACTTCAACACTTTCAACACCCAAACAAACACTCAATTTTCCTTTGAATCACTAGTTTTTTAGTGGAAGAAAATACTTAACTCTTTCTATACTCGAGAAAGAAAGGATAGAAAGACATAAATCTCATTATAGACAGCACTGGCAGACAGTATGTGTTGTAATACTATTGGCACTAATAGTAGGAAATATTAGAAATTGTGGCATCAATTCAGAGCACATGAATCGCTAGTATTATATATTTAACACTTTTAATGTCAGTTTTTGGGCTAAAATATAATTAATAAATACCTTCTGTTTATATATTTCTCATAACTGGTTCTCCATCTCATGAGTGCCAGAAATGAGGTGCAAAATGAGATGATAGGCCATAGATTACTATAACTATGAAATGAGTTATAAATATTAACCCCGAAAAAAGGTTTTCTACTTACGGTTTGAGAGCTTTAAATATGAAAAATGTAATTTTATTTCAAGAAATATTTTATTTACTCCATATATATAATGTACAAAAATACTCGTTCGCAACCGACCCGTCCTTCCCATTGATGTTAACATTAATTTTCAACAAAAATACACACAAAAAAATGCGAAAAACTTAAGAACTCATTAAGTAATATATGACTTGAGAAATGCATACATAAACTTTAGACCCCAGTCTTGAAGGCTTGGATCGCCTAAAACCCCAGTGTTTATTATATCCAACATATCCAGCGATCCTAACATATCATGTTTACAGCCGTTTAATAGCATTTCTTTCTACGGAATTAATTTTAAATCAACACAAATATTAATAATTGCTTTAAAAATATTTGCTATAAATTTCCCATAATATAGACATTACATAAAAATGTATCCCAAAAACACATGCCCTTTGCAAATGGATTTACATTTTAAATGAAGTTTTAAATTGTATAATCAGTTGGTTTTAAAAAACAGCTAAAATTATGACTATTTTATTATAATTTTTGATTTTTATTAATATTTATAAATTTTTGTTTTAATTATTAAAATTTAATCTGGTTTGATGTTCTCTATAAATAGCAGATTGTTATATTTAATACCGGTTTTATTAGAAATTTATTTTAATACATAATTTAATTTATGTTTTAATTGTTTATATAGTCGTTGTCTTAGATCCCGGTGTCGTTTATAATTGAATTATGTATAAGAGAAGAGTCACTAATTAAATCAAAAAACAATTTATTTAAAACAATGCCTCAGCAAAGAAAAAATTTAGTAAAAATTAATTAAATTCAATAATAAAATTTATTTCTTGGCATTTATTCTTTGCAATGAAATTAATTATAAAAAGGGTATTAATTCAATGGGAATAATAGCTTTTGAATGCAAATTATTAATAACTTAATACCAGAAGTGTATGAGATTTGGCTTAAAGTCGTTATTATGTTATTTAGTATTTAATACTTTTAACCACCAGTTTATGTGTATTTTATAAAACATGAAGAAACAAAAAATCCTCTGAAATATATTCATTAAAATTATTTCAAATGTTTTTAATTCTTGTAAATGTCTTCCCATTTGTCTCACAATCAAAATCAATGTTCATTGAACTTCATTATGAATTCCGTTCATAAATTATTTTACATATTATAAAAATCCCACATTATTTTGATGAGAGAGAGAGAGAGAGAGAGAGAGAGAGAGAGAGAGAGTTGTAATATTATTTTGATGTATAAGAAACTGACGGAAAGATTGTGATAATAGGGAAAAACGATTTATATTTTTGATGAGATTTTATTTGTTAAGTAATAATAATTATAAGTATTTTAATTTCATTTCACATTAAAATATAATCTAAAAGTTATTTAAAGTCTGAAAGTAATAAAAGAAAGCCTCTATAAGTGTATGAGATTAACAGATCATTTGTGACACTTGTATGTGATTCTTATGTCACGGCTGTCCTACCGGTGCTGTTCAGGTCTACCCCTCATAAAAATGCCATAAATGTCTCGTCTTGTGAGGTATTCATTGACGAGAGAGAGAGAGAGAGAGAGAGAGAGAGAGAGAGAGAGATCTTGGTATTAAGTTTTGACCTCTTTTTGGTTTTGTTTGAATTGAAATCTAATTAAATTTAAATAATAAAAATGATTACAAAAAACTACACTTATGTACAAACATTTGAGTGAAAGATTTATGTAAACTGAATTCAAAACTTTAAATTCATAATCACTTAATGCATACAAACAAACAAATAAATAAATAAGTGATTTATATAAATATTTGATAAAATGTTTTTAATATGAAAATTATACATTCATTTAGTTATTTATTTTCTCATTATATACCAGAAAGTTAGTGAACGGCAGATAAAAAGCAAAAACAAATTCAAACATAAAACAAATTTATTATGTAATCAAACAATTTATTTATCCCGAAAAATGTGATATTATATCAGTTTTGCTAATCTTTACGTTAAATCACAAAATTTTGTTACTATTAAAATCAAGGCTAATATAATTCACTGACTTTTTTATGCCGTATTTTCTGAAATTTACAAATGTTTTTAATCGATGCCATCATTTTTTTGCATCTCTCTCTCTCTCTCTCTCTCCTTTGCTGAATATTTTCATTAATAGCTTGAAATGTCTGGTTATTTATGTTTTATAATTTAATACACTTTACATCTGAACTTATTTTGTTGCGATAATATTATGAAAATATTATAATTCATTCAATTCATGCAAATTAGTTAATAAAACAACAAAAACCCGAACAAACGGTTAGTGTTTGGGCTCAGCATTAATGGGATTGATGTATAAAAACTAGTAAATTATAATTTACTTTATATTAAGAAGTAATCTATTTGTGAATTAACACAATGGATACAATCAGAAAACTGCTATTAATAAATCATTATATACTAGATATTAATATTATTAATCATTACCTCTATATTCAATCATAACTTTATTAAGAAATGAAACTTTTTTACGGACAAAAGACTTTATCCATAATGAATGAAAACTTGATATGTTTTTGCATTTAATTCATATATTCATGCATTATATGAAAAAATATATTTTATCAAAAATTTCATTATTCATTAATTTAAGCGTAACATAACATACAGGTATATAACATCCGATGGGTGTGACAGTCGTTGAGATACTGTATGTTAGAGCACAGGAGGTGTACAATATATTATGGTATTATACTGTATGTGTCCTAACAATACATTTTCACATTTCGTTTGATTATATTTTAATGCATTTCTTCCCGACTAATAAAGTAGTCATTATATTCACGGTTTTGTATCAAATTATACACATTTTCTCCGTTGCTTTTTGCATATTATATGTACTGCATGTCAAGTCATAGGCACTGTATTTTTTTTGCATAAAATTGAAGGGAAAAATTGTCTGATTCTGGACTCTATTCTTACAATTCATTTCACATTATATTTCACGCAATTTTTTGAGGGCAGAGGAATAGGTGTTCATTCCTCTCTCATATCTCACGTTTTGGCTAATTATATGTTTTTGTATAACAATTTGCAAACACTTTTGCATTTCTCAAATATATTAGTGCTATTTTTGAGACAACCATTTATCACAGCAAAAACCTATGCGCTAGGGATGGGGTGGGCGTAGGGGTACTGGCATTACAAAACATATTTCACACATTAAATGCCCCCAAAAACTCTGTAATACAGACTCACACGTAGACAATGAACAAAACGAAACAAAACATAAAACAAAACATTTAATTAAAAATATTCATTTAAAAACATTATGACTAATAATATGTTATTATTGTGTAATTTATAGGTCAGTTACGGCCGCCGCGTATCACTGAACAGCCGGACAATGTGGTCGTCAAAAAGCACGAACCGGCGACTCTTAACTGTAAGGCTGACGGCAAACCTAACCCAACCATCGAGTGGTAAGTTTTGGCAAACATTTAAATATACATTTGATTTCAATTGTGTGTGATTTGCATATAATTATGTAATTTGTATTAGTGTCGGTAAATTGGACAATTTTTATTCACGCTCACTCACGTTCACGACAAAAATTTTCACGCTCACTCACACTCACGGGGAAAAATTCAATCGTGAATCACACTCACTCACGGTGTCTGTAAAACTTTTCACGTTCACTCACGATCACGA